GGAGATCAATATAGTCTGAAAATGGCCACAACCACCCAGCCTTCTTAATTTATCCTTTTCTTAACATACGAGTACAGAAAACAAAGTCTGGAATTATATTACACATATTACGACCCAAATACACATGTTTTAATTAAATCCCCAGTAGAAACAAATCCATATACTATAGTACCTTATACCCATGCCAAAGATGAACCCAGCTATATATTAAAGAAAATGACGGTCGGTGATGTGATTTGATTATTTGTTTATATACGGTCTCTTTTGTTTTATAACGGGTTTAGTAAAAATCTAAGATTAATGTCTAGAACTTCTGTTTTGAGTTTATATTTTACAAAAATTATAAGCTAGTAAAAAAATTTGTTGGACTAAGCTTGATAGTGCTCTGTTCTCAGACATTAAATGGAACTATGAAGAAACAAATTTTACATATTATATACTGATCTCTCTGCAACTATTTCTATTTAAAGCGTACTCCTATGATTTGAATAAGATTATCGTTTAGTTTTACTTATGTAGCAATATATACCCTTATCACCTGCACATATGGAGTTTATGCGTCTCAGTTGATTCGATACGCAAGAGCATGCTCTACGTACTAACAATATCTAAAACGAGGTCAGTTATTGACAAACAAGTTGATAAAACAAGAATATCAACAGTCTCGTTTGAAGTCATCATTTTGCAAGTTCTATGGTCGATACATTGACCTTGTCAGCAAATACAATCTATCATTAAGTAGAATGCTGTCTGAAGTTTTCAAACAAATTGTTAGACTATTATTTACACATTGAACTGTCTACGGATTTCTCTGTTTTCCCGTTCATGACAAGGAGCACACGGCAGGTGAGATCCGTCGACAGGGTACTATCTTAAAATATGGATATATATTTAATTGCTTTGGTAAAATTCAGAAATTTATTTCAAAATTAAGGATTATCTCCCTCATGCATAGCTCTGATCCTTCAATGTATTTGTATCCAGTCTTTCGTACCCCCTTTTTCAGCTCTTCAAAGTTTTTTTTAATTTAAATATTTCGGATTTCCAAAGTTTCGGCATGAACATCACTGAAGAGACATAATTTGTCGAAATGCGCATCTGATGCATAAAAATTGGTACCGTATATGATTTACATTATAAACAGTTATGATTTAGCACGTGATGTCAAGGAAATCAATCAGATTTACATATTACGCATTAAAAAAAAACTATTTTTATTCTAGTAAACCGTTCTAAGATATTCATGAAAAACTGCAATAAAGGTATAGCGGCATGATTACCCACATACATTGTAAACAACGACTGGATTGTATTCCGGGTAACAGTTCAATAACACGTTGCATATCAGCTATGTCGTATACCCGTGAAATAAACAGAATAGATTGGTTTCCTTTAAGAATTGTATGCCTCGCAGTACATACAAGGGTTGTTGGGAAAGTTCGCGGACTTCTGTAATAATATCTTTTATTGAACGTCATAGTATTCAAATATCCAAATTAGGTAGAATTTTTTAGCTCACCTGAGCTGAAAGCTCAAGTGAGCTTTTCTGATCACCCGTTGTCCGTCGTCCGTCCGTCTGTCCGTCCGTCTGTAAACTTTTCACATTTTCAACTTCTTCTCAAGAACCACTGGGCCAATTTTAACCAAACTTGGTACAAAGTATCCCTGGGTGAAGGGGAGTTTAAATTGTTAAGATAAAGGGCCAAGTCCCCTTATAAGGGGAGATAATCAAGAAAAGACAAAAATAGGGTGGGGTCATTAAAAAATCTTCTTCTTAAGAACCACTGGGCCAGAAAAGCTGAAACTTATGTGGAAGCATCCTTGGGATAGTGTAGATTCTAAATTGTTAAAATCATGACCCCCGGGGGTAGGGCGGGGCCACAATAGGGAATCCAAGTTTTACATTGAAATATATAGGAAAAATCTTGAAAAATCTTCTTCTCAAGAACCACTGGGCCAGAAAAGCTGAAACTTATGTGGAAGCATCCTTGGGTAGTGTAGATTCTAAATTGTTAAAATCATGACCCCCGGGGGTAGGGCGGGGCCACAATAGGGAATCCAAGTTTTACATTGAAATATATAGGAAAAATCTTGAAAAATCTTCTTCTCAAGAACCACTGGGCCAGAAAAGCTGAAACTTATGTGGAAGCATCCTTGGGTAGTGTAGATTCTAAATTGTTAAAATCATGACCCCCGGGGGTAGGGCGGGGCCACAATAGGGAATCCAAGTTTTACATTGAAATATATAGGAGAAATCTTGAAAAATCTTCTTCTCAAGAACCACTGGACCAGAAAAGCTGAAACTTATGTGGAAGCATCCTTGGGTAGTGTAGATTCTAAATTGTTCAAACAGGACCCCCCGGGGTAGGGCGGGGCCACAATAGGTATTACAAGGAGGGGGGGGGGGGGAATCTGGTAAAGAACAGCATGGCCAAAGTTACTCAGGTGAGCGATGTGGCCCATGGGCCTCTTGTTTAATGATAAATTCGAATGATGTGCATCAAACATTTTATAAAAATCGTGATTTATTTCAATCGTATTAAGAACTGCGAAAATCGAATCGCTGATCATGTCAAAATTACTCAGGCGCAAAAAAAAACTAACTTACGTAAATCCATTTCCGAACGTGAAAAAACCTATTTCGTCATGGTCGTGGGGTACACGTTTTCTAAAGGGAGGGGGGTTTCCAAAGTAATTTTTTATTTGCTTCAGTATATATACGTTAAATAACTGCAAATTCCTAGGGGCGCGGACCCCACCCCCACCCCCTTCTCTAGATTCGCGCATGTCATGGACTCTACCATACTCCTCCCATCCCATCCCCACGAAATAAGATATAGGGTTTGGAGAATTCTCTTTAGTTTTGGGGGGCTCGTGAAAGATTATTTTTAGGTAAGTTGTAATTTTTCCTCATGTAATGCCCCCCCCCCCCCTTCAAAATCGATGCTACATGCCTGACATTTTGTCTACATCGGAACACTTACTAAGGAATCAGATGTCATTTAGACTGACTCTCACACACCTGTGAATCCGTCGACACGTTATTAGAGGTTACTTTACATGGAACCAGAAGTAATTTAACTATGAAATCACAAGACACTTTACATGTAATCAGAAGTCACTTGACTAAAGAATCAAAAATCACTTTACTATATTCCTGTATATAGATGAAATCATTTGTCTCTTTACTATAAAATTGAATCAGATATCACGGTACTATTGAACAAGAAGTCATTTTACTACATGTGTACATTCAATCAGATATCACGGTACTATTGAATAAGAAGTCATTTTCCTACATGTGTACATTCAATAGAATGTATTCTATTCTCTATGTAGAGAATTCAGAAGAAACTTTACCTTATATGGAATCAAAAGTCAGTTTAATTTACATGGTCACTTTACACTGGAATAACTCCTCACTTTACTATATAAGGAATGAAATGTCACTCAACTACACAAGGAAACGGAAGATATTTTATATATGGAATCAGAAACCACTTCATCATATATGAAATCAGAAGTCAATTTACTATGGTATCAAATATCACTTTACTATATATGGATTCAGAATTCATTTTAATATACATGAAATCACTTTATTAAACACGATCTTAGGAGTCCCTATACTATCATGGAACAAAAATTCCATTCCCTCTTTTAGACTATTATATTAATTTTGCACTCTCATTTGTGGTTAAAATGTTATGACCTGGTGTGGCATTTTTATAAATATGTTCAATAAAACATAAGCAACAACAAACGCAGATAGTTTTACAAGAAAAGATTTAATAAAGGGGGCAAATTTTCCTGTATAAAGTTTTATACATATTTGTGATATAATCTTTATATATATGTATATAATAATTCCTTTGCATAGAAAAAACTTTCAAAGTCTGAATAGTGAACTGCAAAAAGATAAATACAAGTTCAGATATATAAGTAAACTTTTTGTTCATATGCTCAAAAATGTGAGATGATAAATATGTAAACTTTTTGTTCATATGCTCAAAAATGTGAGATGATAAATATGTAAACTTTTTGTTCATATGCTCAAATATGAGAGATGATAATCTCCCCATTTGCAAGGATTGCATGGGACAAGAGAAGAAATGAAGTCTACCACTGTTTCATAAGCTATATGTATGTAAAGGCTACGTGTGTTCTCAGGCATTACAAAAAAAACTAGAACTGTCCAAAAGGGACAAATACCCCCCGCTGGGTTTTTCAGAGAAGGTACCAAATCACTAATGTTTTCTAGATGTGAGAGGTGTTCACAATTTGCTAAAACATTTAGAGTGAAAATTGATTACTCATTATATTTTTTTAAATGAATAAAACTAAGGTGCAGCCTAATAAAACATCAATACTAGTAATTAAAGTGTTTTTTATTACATTGAAAATATAGTTTGCAACTATCTGTCATCTTTGTGAGACATGACACTCTGCAAATTGATTGTTGAAAAAAAAATCATAATTAATTATACAAAATCAAATTGATCTTAATGCAATGTACCTTTATATCAAACTCATTTTAAAAATAAAAGGCTGGTTCCAGTAACTATGTATTTTGACAGACATAAATTACAATTAAGAGACTTAGACAACAGAGATCTTTATTTCTTTCTGCCCAATTCCCAGGAGATATAGATAAGACCTGCTTGATCAGAGATGCCCTAACAGCTTCACACACTGAACTCATTAATTTATCTTTAACTGGATGCATGTCCACTCATTACTCCCAAGGGACAAATGGATTTACACTATCTGCTGTGTAATGTAAAAACTGTTTTTAATACTTTGTGATTTTTTTTTAGTTCTAATGAGTAGTTTTAAGCTGTAGTTCACATTTTTGTTCAGATGTTTTAGATTCTATGTCTCAAACCTTAGACATGAACCCAAAATGACTAAGTCAATAAAAATGAAAAAGAAAAAAAAAACACCTGTAAAATGCAGAAAAATTATCAAATAATGTTGAAAATACCAGGTGCACATCTTCATATGGTAAATAATAAGTGTACAAATTTTCATACAAATCTATGCAATAGTCTCTGGGAACAGATCCAGACAAAACAACATAATAAAAATGAAAAAAACACCTGTAAAATGCAAAAAAATCATCCAATCATGATGAAAATACCAGGTGCACACCTTCATATGGCAAAGAATAAGTATACAAATTTTCAGACAAATCCTTGCAACAGTTTCCAAGAAATGGTCCGGACAAAATCTCGTCTACAGACAGACGGACAGACAGACAGACGGACAAGCTGATTCCAATATACCCCCCCCCCTAAACTTCGTTTGCAGGGGGTATAAAAAGTTTTTGTAAGCTCATTTTACTACGAAGTGCTATGATAATAAGAATTTCTCACTGAATTTCACCAGCTTCACTGTCACATCTAGAATATGTAGAATACCTAGAACTAGGTATCTTTTTTATATCAATAACTATGTTCTTATTTCTAACTAGCAGAAGATGATTTTAAAATGCTGGACAGTTTATTTGAAAATTTGGAGTCAGCCATGTTTTTTCCTTGAGTGAAGATAATATCTTTGGAGAGTTCTTATTTCCAGTTAGCAAAAAAAGATGTTAAAATGCTGGACAGTTTCTTTGAAAATTTGGAGTCAGCCATGTTTTTTCCTTGAGTGAAGATAACATCTTTGGAGAGTTTGTGTATAGTACATGGAACATTGGTGTACTCCTTTTCACCAAAAAAAGTTCTGCTAGACATCTGTGCAGTGATTTCCCTCAGAACTTCAAGGAAGTTGGTGTTATTGTCTTTAAGTTTTCCATTTCCATAAAATTTTTCTACTGCCTTATACAAAAACCGCAACATGTAGCTGCCTATATCTTTACTCCTAAAAGCATACAATCCTAAAGGAAGAAAAATGAATTTGTAAGTTTTGTTTCCATTAGTTATGTCTCGGTTAGTCTTGATTAAATTGAATGCAGACATTCTGAAAATCTTAAATCAATCATTCAAAGAAGTATTGAAGTCATTTACATTTCTAAAATTTTGAAAAATTATCAACATACAAATATTAATCATTTTGACTTCTCTTCAGATGAATACTGTATAGGTGGAATTTTTAGGGACATGCACATTTAGCGATTTGTCATTAATAATAAGTATTTTATTTTAGTGAGAAGTAATTTTAGCAATTCTATGGTGCATAGAAAGACAACGGTAAACTTCAAAGCAGTATGAATTTTTAGCGATATTCAATTTTAGCGACCTCAACACCCTCTCTAAAAATACCAAAGTTTATTCCTCGCTAAAATTTCTACTTATACGGTAGTACCTTACAACAGGACAAAAGAGTCAAAACCAGACTTTACAACATTACAACAAGAGTCAATAGAAGATCTTACTTTATATAGGACAACAAACATAAACATCACACCTTACAATGGGACAACAAATATTAAAACCATACCTTACAATAGGACAACAAAAGTAAACATCATACCTTACAATAGGACAACAAAAGTAAACATCATACCTTACAATGGGACAACAAATGTTAAAACCATACCTTACAATAGGACAACAAAAGTATACATCATACCTTACAATGGGACAACAAATGTTAAAACCATACCTTACAATAGGACAACAAAAGGCAACACCAGACATTACAAGAGGACAACAAAACCTTACAAGAGAACAACAAAACTTTGTAACAAGGACAATAAAAGTCAGAAGCAGACCTTGTGGTGATGCAAACATGATGAGCATATCATTGTGAAAGGAGACAGCAGTGATGTGGATTGGGGCCACTGTTGGTCTATATCGCCGGGCTCGTGGAGGATCCACTTCGTCCCCCGGCATTCCCTTCTCTGCAGAAGGTTGTAATCTAATTCCTCTTGCTGGGTCCAGCTCATCATCTTTTTGTTCAATCTCAGGTGATAGAGCCTACAAAACATACACAAGTTTTGGAGAACCATGAATACATGCAGCTAATGATGTCCATCAGACAGTGTGTTTTATGTAAACAATCTTCCCATTAAAGACATATAAATGAAAACATGTACTATGGACAATTAATTTTATATGAACTAAACCAAAAATGCTGGAACTTCTCAGGGCACTTTTCTGCAGACTTAACTTTTCTTGTCGTATCTTTTTTTTTCATTAACTGATCTCAGGGCTACTTTAATTTGTTCCATATACAATATTAACAATTCTTAATATATCTGTTAACTATTTATGACCAGAAAAGTTGGATTATTGAAGGTATGTGCCTGTAACTAATACCCTTTAATTAAAACCTATTTTCATACTGTACTTACCCCTTCCCCTCCTGTTGCATTTTGAGTATCCGTTTCTTTGTTATGATTGGCCTCCTGGGTGTAAACTCTACCAAGCTGCCACACCTCATTTTGTAATTTCTTTAAATTTCTGACAATTTCTCTCTGTCTTTGTTCCAAATATTTTTCTACATCTGAAGTGTCTTGCTCCTGTTAGTAACAATATACCACAAAATAGTAGTCATTGATGCAGTACTTAATATACTGAGCTATGCTAATATTACACATACGTATTTCTAACTTCTGTACTGTGATGTACAATGTCAACTTTACCAGTACAAAGTTTTGATGTTCAACTTACCCCCTCTGTGTCAGTATCCTGGCTTTTGGTTGTGGGGAGGTCATTATCACCCTCAAGGTCAGAATCCTCATCGATATCTGTATCAGACACATCTACCTCCTCAGTGTCCGACTCTACACACAACAAAAATTACCTTGTTCAATGTGAAGTTAATTTTGCATGAAGAAAACAACCATAAAACAGAGATAATTTTTTTTCACCAATACTTCTCTTGTTCATTATAAGTAGTTTTCAAATAAATTTGTCATTTTTTTTTCATTTTAATTACCGGTATCAGAAATGTAAGAAAATGGTTTTATTTCTGAAGAAAATTGGCAACTTTAGACTCTCCTAAAATATGTGAAATACTGTTATATTTTATTTTCAGTATATAATACAATATTGCAAACTATGGCCAAAATGTATGATTCTCTCACATTCTGACCATAGTTGAATAAGAAGAGAATATTTAATTATTTCATATCTCATTAAGATATTGACCAATGTATGCAAGTAAAGTATAATCGGAAAATGAACTTTGACGCTACCTTTCATTCCCAAATCGCAGTTCACTTAACATTTCTTGTTTATTAAACATTTCTTGTTTACTGTTGATGTCATTTTTTTATTTCAATTGCGATGGAAACAAATACTGTCATTGGCTGAACATGAGGGCACAGCATACAGGCATAAATATGCAAGATTATGACATTTTATGTGATCAAGCAGCCACGGGTAAGAGAGAGCTATATATATATGTGGACTCTGTTACAGTGACTTGAGATGAATCACACAGTAGTACACTATATACAATGTACATACCAGCCTAAATGCATTGTTAGTATTTCTTATATCCTTTTTCCATCCTGTAAAGTTGTACATGTATGTGTCAATTCTATAGAGACAACTTCTTTCACAAGAAGGAATACTACAAATTACTAATTTGAAAATTTCCCTAGAATTACCATCAAGTCTGAATACAAGTAACAATAACTGTACCTTCATCTGAGATCTCTTTGGTTTCCTGATGGTCAATCTTATCACGTCCATGTTTATTTTGGCCTGGTTCCCCTCCTCCATCTCTGTGTCTGGTGCCATGATCAAACCCTATGCCTGCGTCTCTGTGATCTTCAGTTGCTTTACTCTCAGGAATTCGACAGGCCTAACAAACACATGCACATACTGATATCATGTCTGATCAAAATTTCATAAAGGTCTACCAAATGAAGATAAACTAACATTAAAACAATTTATTATTGTATATTTAAAGAACTGTACAGTCATGCTTCTCTGAAAAATTTAGAATTTCCAAAGAGTTTTACCTTAAAATTTCTAAATATATATATATATATATATATATATATATATATATATATATATATATATATATATATATATATATATATATATATATATATATATATATATATATATATATATATATATATATATATTAAATTTGCTGTTTTTTACAACAAAGTCAACTGTTAAATTGATTTGAATGCCATTTTCGTGTATACTCATGCATAGAAATATACACCGAGAAACTCATGCTAAAGTAACATCACAATAATTAAGCTACAGAGATGTTAATAACAAGAGGCCCATGGGCCTTGAATTGCTCTTCTGATAAACTGTACAACCTATCACTTCTATTTGAAGCCTCAAAGTATCCTTTATATTTACATAAACCCTTGAAATTCCAATTCACACTCTGAGAACCCAAGATGATTCTAAGCCAATTAGTACCTGAGAGTTGGTCATGGTGACCTACTTATCACTTGTCATTCTCTGAGGACCCATCAACTAAGTTTGATGATTCTAAGCCAATTAATACCTAAAATATTTTTTAAAATTATAATCATAAAATTTTATAAGTAGGTCAAAGTGACCTACTTTTCAATTGTTTTACTCCAAGGACCCAAGATGCATCAACTGACAAAGTTTGATGATTCTAAGCCAATTAGTACCTGTAATATTTAATTAAAGCCATAAATTTTCAAAAGTAGGTCACCGTGACCTACTTTTCAGTTGCTGTACTCCGAGGACCAAAGATACATCGACTGACAAAGTTTGATGATTCTAGCCAATAAGTACCCAAAATATTTAATTACAGCCATAAATTTTCAAAAGTAGGTCACAGTGACCTACTTTTCAGTCAACCTACTCCGAAGACCCAAGATGCATCAACTGACAAATTTTGACGATTCTAAGCCAAATAATTCCTGAAAATATTAAATACAGCCATAAAATATCAAAAGTAGGTCACGGTGACCTACTTTTCAGTTGTTGTACTCCGAGGATCCAAGACGCATCAACTGACAAAGTTTAATGATTCTAAGCCAATTAGTACCCGAAATATTTGATTAAAGCCATAAATTTTCAAAAGTAGGTCATGGTGACCTACTTTTCAGTTGTTGTACTCCGAGGACCCATGACACCTAAACTGACAAAGTTTTATAATTCTAAGCCAATTAGTACCCGAAATATTTTATTAAAGCCATAAATTTTCCGAAAGTAGGTCACGGTGACCTACTTTTTAGTCTACCTACTCCGAAGACCCATGACGCATCAACTGACAAAGTTTGATGATTCTAAGCCAATTAGTACCCGAAATATTTAATTAAAGCCATAAATTTTCAAAAGTAGGTCACGGTGACCTACTTTTTAGTCGATCTACTCTGAAGACCCAAGATGCATCAACTGACAAAGTTTGATGATTCTAAGCCAATTAGTACCTGAAATATTTAATTATCGCCATAAATTTCCAAAAGTAGGTCACTGTGACCTACTTTTTAGTCGACCTACTCCGAAGACCCAAGATGCATCAACTGACAAAGTTTGATGATTCTAAGCCAATTAGTATCCGAAATATTTAATTAACGCCATAAATTTTCAAAAGTAGGTCACTGTGACCTACTTTTTAGTCGACCTACTCCGAAGACCCAAGATGCATCAACTGACAAAGTTTGATGATTCTAAGCCAATTAGTATCCGAAATATTTAATTAACGCCATAAATTTTCAAAAGTAGGTCACTGTGACCTACTTTTTAGTCGACCTACTCCGAAGACCCAAGATGCATCAACTGACAAAGTTTGATGATTCTAAGCCAATTAGTACCCGAAATATTTAATTAACGCCATAAATTTTCAAAAGTAGGTCACTGTGACCTACTTTTTAGTCGACCTACTCCGAAGACCCAAGATGCATCAACTGACAAAGTTTGATGATTCTAAGCCAATTAGTACCTGAAATATTTAATTATAGTCATATAAATTGAAAAGTAGGTCAAGGTGACCTACTTTTCAGTTGACCTTTTTTGAGGACCCAAGATGCATCAACTTACAAAGTTTTATGATCATAGGACTTAAAATGTCCAAATTATGCCTCTAAAATGCTTTGAAATCGAATGCCTGCAAAGTTCAAAAAGTAGGTCACTGTGACCTACTTTTTAATAAATATGTTTTATGGCCCCAAGATGCATCATCTTACAAGATTTAATGATTCTAAGCCTTCCCGTATTTGAATTAATGACCTTAATTGTTTTAAAAAAGATTAGCCATAAAATTCAAAAAGTAGGTCAAGGTGACCTACTTTTTAGTTGACGTACTTTGAGGACCCAAGATGCATCAACAGACAAAGTTTGATGATCATAGGCCTTAAATTGTTCAAAATATGCCTCTAAATCATTTTGAAAAAGAATGGCCGCAAAATTTAAAAAGTAGGTCACCGTGACCTACTTTTGAGTCAACATGATATGAGGTCCTTAGATGCACCAACTGACAAGATTTGATGATCCTAGTCCTTATAGTAAGCAAAATATCAACATTTTAATAAAATGTAATTTTTGGTCAACTTTGAAGTGACCTTGAGACCACGCCCTTTGCCCCAGGGTAAATCCCCATGCAAATTTTAATCTACAACATATCCTCATCCTTTTGTGTAAGTTTGGTGATAATCTGCCCAGTGGTTCTTGAGAAGAAGTTTTTTTAGCAACCAGTACTTTTGTTTCTATTTTCCTAATTATCTCCCCTTGTTAAAGGGTCACAACCCCAGTTTTAGTATAAAAGGGAGCCCTTGGGCCAAGGATACCCTGTGACAAATTTGACAATAATTGGCCAAGGGGTTCTTGAGTTATGGCCCATATTCTAAAAAGTTTACGCACACCGCACACCGCACAAATGGCCATAGCATTAGCTCTTTGAGCCTTTGGCTCAGAAGAGCTAAAAATGTAACAATATAGGGCAGCAAATAATTCAAACATTGAGTATATTTTTGGTGCTTTTGAACATGTAAATGCAAATATAAGGAATGTTTTTAAGTTTAGTGTGAATTATTGATGTGTAAATCACACAGACTTGCACACTGGCATATTTTTCATGAAGCGCTAGCGCGCTTCAAGAAATATGCCTACGTGACAAGTCTGTGTGATTTACATACCAATAATTCACACAAAACTTAAAAACATTCCTTAAATATATATATAAAATTACTATTCCTTTCTCACAGCTCACAGTTTGAAATTAAATGACTAACGCAACATTGCAGAAAAAATACATCGGCATTAGCAGCTTAATGTGAAATCACCAATATTTATGGGAGGTTAATTTTCATTGCTTTTGTGGAATGAAGAGACCCACGAATTGATATTAAATAAAATGACTTTTTTTTTACCTAGGTTAATTCCTGTTTTGCATAAAGAGTGACTGCACTTATTGACATACAAAATTTGCAGAAAATTCAACTTTCAAAAAGATTTAAATTAGTGTTTTCCTTTCAATTACAAGAATGGTCAACATCTAAACTGCAACTTAATGTCATTACAATAAATAAAGGTTTTTTTTTTTTTTTACAAAGAGCGAATGCGTTTTATAGGCAGGTCAACAAGATTCCTTGAATCGCCATATAATAATAAGAATGCCCACTTCTTTATTGACTAAATAGTCAGTGCATCTTTGTCTAATGTTCTCCATTTAATTGTAGTTGTATATTTGATATATATCATTAATTTAAAAGATCAACAGACAAATATGTGCTCATGGTTTCTCAGAGAAAAAACTTTCTTCTTAGTTCATTCTCTTTAATATTGTAACCAACGATTGTGACCTTTAACGTATTATAATTCATCACATGATTTCTTACTCACTAGGTAACTATAAATGTGAAATCAATACAATTCCATCACCTGATGTGTTAGGTTGGGTACCATGTGCTTTACCAACTGGTGCCATATGGAAAAGATAGAGATAACATGTATTTTTCTATATGAATGACATTTTTATGCTTAAGTCTAATTTTAGACCCATTCTTATAATATTAGTTCCACCAGGCACCTTTCATGCATAATTTATCAACCAAGTTTTTTATTCAAGGGCAGGTAAATGTAAATTTTCAAAACTAGAAAAACAGTAAAAAGTCTGTCATTCTTTTATTGTATCACAGTCAAAAATAATTTTATGGTTTAAATTCTGTCCAAAATTTACCAGATTCTTTAACATAAGAGAGAAATTATATATTAAGTTGTAAAAGTAACAGAATCTACCGAAAAAGACTCCAAAGCCCAGTGTTAAGTGCAGTCGTCTTTAAAACATTTAATACAGTATTACAAAATGTATGCCAAATGTTACACATGTATATACTCCACTCTTCAAATTAAAGTTGAAATTTGTTATTTATGTATTTTCATCATGCTTTATTAAATGAAGAACAGTTTTTAATAAAAAATCTTACAGTAACTTTTTTTTTTTAAAGATTTACTAATACATGGTATACAGAATATAAGAGGTACAAAAAACATGATGAAAGAATATCAGATTACCTATATATGCATGTGTTCAAAATAAATAAACAGAACACAAATTATTAACTAAGTCATTTATATGCAGAGCAAAACATAAGGCATGGTGATGGTCAATCTCAGTGTTAACCTGCCATAAAATAAAACAAACCAGTGTGAACTGTGCATTAGTGAAAAACACCTGTTACCTTTAACAGAGTGCCTGTGAAATAATATATATTATATACCTACATATGTATCATGTTTGACCCAGAGATAAAGGAATAGTCCTTATGATGTAAAACTGTAAATATTAGTAATAATATGATGACGGTGCGACCGTTAGGGCGAGCGCAGATACCTTCCAGTTTTAATTTAGATAGGGCTCGTCAAACCGCACGTGATATTTGCTACGTCTAGACTCTGACGTCATATGACGTCGTATGTATGTTGCATTACCAAAACGGAGTCTGATCAGTGCTAATTTTAATCAAGAACGTTTAATCTACTATTTATCTGCTATATACCCATTAAATCAAGGTGATTTTATTTTTTGTTGAATTTTTGTTGCTACCGCAAGAACGTAATTTGCAACGAGATGCAATTCGCTAAGCATTATGGGACCACAGGTAACTGCGGAAAAAAATTCATTTGGATCAATGTGCAAAGTCCGAATTTTCTCTTCACCCAGGCGTTGCTTTAAGAGCTCGCAGTGACGAGCGGCGCTTTGCGCCGCTCGCTGCGCTCGCTATTAGTAATAGGCGACTATTATTTTGGTTGTGCATGAGGATGATAAATAATGTTTTTTCATATGAGAATTCTTCCAAAAGCAGCTTTCCTGTTTAATATGCAAATTTCCTATATTCAAATATAAGATTATCACTCTGAAATAGACACTTATTCCTAAAGTACATCAAGGTTTTAATATCTCCAACACTGATTTGCCATATATCAAGGATCTGCTGAAGTGAGACAACCATCCCAATCAATTATCTTATTATCTATATAAAATTCAACCTTCAGTTGATATCTCAAACACTAAGATATCTGTCTCACAGTGTTGTCAGCCTTGAAATCTCAAACCCTGAGATATCTCTCCCACAGTGTTGTCAGCCCTGATAACTCAAACCCTGAGATATTTTTTTTTATAGTGTTGTCTGTTCTCAATTACTTTTCTTTTTAAAAAAAAAACATGAATCATTTTGTCATTTTTTTTACCTGAATAAAGAACAGCTTTGGTTTGTTTTTCAGTGCTTTGCATGCTTTAGGGCTGAAGTGATCCAGAACTTCTTGGGTGTCAAAGTATTCATCATCGAACATTTGTATGGCATGATGATGGACTACTTGATCTTTTTTTTTCACCTCTCTTTCAATTCCATGTGAACTGATAGCAAATACGAAACAATCATACACATTCAGACTTTTGTCTTTCGAATCTAAAATATTCAAAGAAAGCATATTATGCAGATTTGTTTAATTATTACTAATGGAGAGAAAATAACCTCACATTCTGATTCATAAAGAGAAAATCTGGAAAACAATGCCAAATAAAGTTTAATTTGTGCTTGAATTTATATGTAATTGTACTTACATGAGTTCAAAAGTGACACAAATTTGGATGTTGTTAAATTTTCATGACAATCTACTTTAAATCCTAGTCTTTTGAATGTTTTTTTCATGTACTTGAGGTCAATGTCAGCACCCTTCCTCATGTATGGCCCCGAGGTAAAGTTAGATATCACGAGAGCGATTCCCTGGTATCTCCTATTGACTTTAAATGGATATCTATCTGTATCCTTCTCTGTATCCATATCAGACACTTCTCCTTTAAAAAAAGAGTATTATTCATTATCTCATCGGCTCAGAATTTAAAGAAATGTAATCCAGACAATGCATTTTTACCATGTTACAACTCAAAACTCTACAAATAATAAGTAACTTAACAAATGAACTGTAACTGTTGACATTTGTGCAGCATTACAATACAATTTCTCAAATATTCTGCTTCATATGATGTCTTTTTACCATGAAATTAAATAGGATAAACCCTTGCACTGAAGCTAGCTACTTTTTTTATGTTCTTCATTTCTTCAAATAGTAACTAAAGAACAATGACATCATATTGTGTATTGGTTATAACATGGATACTAAGTATTTACAGTAAAACTTGTCTAATCCAGACAACAATAGTTCCAAACATATTGGCCGGATTAGAAAACATTCCGGATTAGACAACATTTTAAGCAATTGAATTTAATTGAAAGGGACTTAAAGTTTAGGTCGTATTAGGCAAGATTTCAGAATATACAACATCCAGATTAGACAAGTTTCAGAGCATTAGAAAGTGAGTTCATATCTTCTCTATATAATCACAGCAATAGGAGTACCTCTTATGTGTTTTGATTAGCTCATTTGTATAGAAACACCAATACTTAGCCTTATCTCACTAGCTTGATTAACAATTAGTCACAAGCTGTACAATATTTTGATTTGAATTTCCAACCAGAAACCTAGAAGGGGTAAGGCAATTCTAGTCCCATACTAGTATAGCCAGAATTCTGTCAAAATCACTGAAGCAGAGAGAAATGTCAAATTAATCTGTAACTCTCCCATAAATATTAGCCCAATATATCCAACCAACTAGAAAGAAGTCTGGAAAAACCAAGCAGGACATACTGACTGATAGACAGAAAGACAGACAGCAAGAAAGATGAGAAAAAAACCAATAGTCCCTTTAGTTTTACTGGTAGGGTTTGCACACACTAATAACAATACAACATTATATCTAGTTACAGTTACACACCTGTATGTATTAACAAATAATGTGTTTTTTTTTTGTTTCAGACTTTTTTTCAGAAATACTATAGTGTAGCTAGAGTATAAGGGAACTTATACTGCCTCTATAGTGAGCTAGCTTTTCTAGTGATGGGGTAGCACCTCCCTCAATTTCAGGAAAGTAATTTAACATAAGCTATACCAAGTCTGAAGAGCCACTGGATGGGTGACAACTTTACATTATAAAATTGGTAGCAGCATAGTGAGTCTGGTGTTTGGTGACCTGCTCTGGGGCTATAGAACTGTAACAGGAAAGGAGAAAAATGCAACTGACCAGACCAGGATTCAAACCTGGGCCCCTGGAATCTCCAGTCATGTGCTCTACCAACTATCTGCCCATCCGCGATCAAACCCATCTGATCACCACATTCCTCCCTCCTTAAAGGTCTTCGCCCCCGAAGACACTAACCCAGGCTTTTCCCTGGCAGGTCTTTCACCTTTCACTTCCAGGGCATGGCACAGCACCAAATGGAACAGAAATTAAATGAGAAAAATGTAACCGACCAGACCAGGATTCAAACCCGTGCCCCCTGAATCTCCAGTCAGGTGTTCTACCAACTGAGCTATCTGCCCATCAGTGATTGAAACCCATCTGACCATACTGGGATTCAAACCCGGGCACCCAGAATCTTCAGTCATGTGCTCTACCAACTGAGCTATCTGCCCACCAGTGATTGAAACCCATCTGACCAGACTAGGATTCAAACCCGGGCCCCCTGAATCTCCAGTCATGAGCTCTACCAACAGAGCTATCTGCATGGCCACTGGCGATTGAACCTGTCTGACCCACAGGCCTTTGGATCGCTTGAATCCGACTTTAAAAATTGGGGCGTATAATAAAGATAAAGGTATGGAACTCCTTACATAGGTTACCCACTTTCGCTAATAAAATACTTTTAAATCAAAAGCTCTAAAGTTTTACTTTCTATTCATATCTATTCATATATAATCAATCTACATCACTACCAAAGTTTATTTCCAAAATTCCATGTACTTCCCGAGATATGGTGAAATCAATTCCAAAATTGACCTACTTTTTTTTACTCAACATTAGCTTGGGCCCTGGTTATTCACATGTATACAGACGGTGTTTGAACTGCAGTGAATAGCTGCATAGTATTTGCACAATCTTTCAACATTTTAAAGCTGATTTTTAACTCCAGATCACAAGGTTAAGTCAGTAATAATTAATTCCTTTCGCAAAAAAAATTAAGAAAATGTTTGCTTCAACAACTTCACAGCCATGTTGTTTATTAATGTAAAAAGAACTATGACTGAACGAAATTTTCCCAGTATGTATAATATACCTTTTGATGTTTTAAAAATTATACCGCTAAAATGTTGGTGGTAACTTAGTAAGACCATATGATTAAATCAGTTAAAATCTTGTGGAGACTGAGTGTTAATAAACAAATATTCAGAGAGTATAGAATAAATTCTGGGAAGAATTCATCTCATCCCCCTTTACAATTAGTGTAACTATTCAGAGGTCCAAGTTTATATCAAGTAAAAAAAAGGTCAATTTTGGAGTATGATTTCAACATATCTTGGGAAGCACCAAATTTCGGAAAAAACTTTGGTAGTAACGTAGATTGTTTATATGTGACTGAATAGTTATTAATAGAAAGTAAAGTTTTAGATCATTTGATTCAAAAGTATTTTATTGGCGAATGTGGGTACCCTATGCAAGGAGTTCCATACCTTTATTTTTTTAATATCTTAATTTTTTAAAGCGATCTAAGGGCCTGTGGTCTGACCGCAAGAGGACTTTGTGTTCACTTACAGACAGTATCTGTGACGATATATGGGTTGTTGTTTCTGAAGAGGCTCCAGTCATTCAGAGAGCGCCCATGCTCAGCTTCTGGACAAAGCTTCCTTGAGCAGGGGGGAAAAGTAGCGGACAATATATATAATATACTAGGGGACTTGTCTTGATAGTGAGCTAGCTAGCTTTCCTAAGGATGCAGTAGCTGCAGCAAACCTGTAAGAGCAGAAATCAAGATAATAGTGAATAAAGAAATATTCATAATAATTATAAGACTGGAAATTTGAAAGCTAGGAAGTTTATTTACTATGCACATTACTATATTGAACAAAATTAATAAGATTCAATTCCAACATAGTCAAAAAGAATCAGGAATTTGGTAACACTTTAATTTTTTTCAAACAAAAAAAAAATTGTAATGTAAAGCAGTCCCCAAATGGACGGATTTTCAATATAGTAATATACATAGTAAGTAACAGGTCTGGTACAATCACTAGATTTAGCTATGTAGCTTGAATTACCTACATAGCTTTATTTACCTACCTGAAGTAGCTTTATTTAGCTACTAAATCAATCTTATTTCTTAAATAAGAATTTTTCCCAGAAAGTGCAGAAAATAGCTGCTAAGCACTTTGATGCAGTGATAATTTTCAACTTTGAACTCATCTGAAAACAATTCATGAAAAAATCACTCTTGGAGATGTGTCCTTTTTTGCGCAATTGCAATCAAAGTTCTAAAAGTTTTGGGGCTATATACAACAGTTAATTTGTGACCTAACAGTTACTTCTTGAGTGTAATAACAAAGAAAACCAGTTTTGGTTAACATGAGCACAAATGTGAAGTAATCATACTTATCCATGCCTCATCGCGCACAAGGTGTGTACAGTTACTCAAACAATGGGAATACATATTTTCCTTAAAAGTGATCAAACGCAGCAATGTTAAAACTATCTCTGCTTTAGATTGCTTTTTAAATGATACCTAGAATAAATATTAGTAGACATTTTCTTGCGACTTTTTGTCTTTTTAAGATAAAAAGCAAAATTGTGAAAAATTGCCTTGAAATAGCTAAATAAAGCTACCTGAGGTAGGTAAATAAAGCTACGGTAGGTAATTTTAGCTACGTAGCTAAATGTACTGATTGTACTGGACCTGAGTAAATTTCCTAGCTTGGAAATTTCCCGTCTTATTCTTTATCCACTTTTATCTTGACTTCTGCTCTAACTTGCACTGCAGTCATAAGGATCATTTTATAATCAATATAATAATATTTTATCTTTTTTTCAAGCTTACTGAATAACAAAATATTACCTGACTCGGAAAAGTTACCCACTGAAAGGAGACTTCCTTAAACCTACTTTCACTTTCAACTAGTTCCATGGTGATTTCTTTTTGCACGATACTCGACAAAGAAGATTTTACACTTTACCATATAAAAATACTTCATAATTACTGAACTGAATATATGGCAGAAAACACCAGAGAATTTTTTTTACGAATATGGGAAAGAACGAATTGGCTTGAAACTGCAAACCGGAACCTCATGAGATAAAGATATCCAAAAACGAAAAGAACTCTGTGATGACATGAGGAAAAGACCCGATTTGCGACCTCTTTCTCGACATTTAAAGAACATGTAAGAACTTTTACGACCATTGTATCTATATGGTACATGTAACTATAGGAAATGGCGAATTGATGTAATTGTTATCTTTCAGTGACATTGGTGAATGTGCAAGACCTTGCCGATAGGTAGTCTGAAATAACTGACGTTTTCCAGGCGTTTTTCACGATTTTGGTTTAGGTTTAATTTAGATCGGGCTCGATCATTATCTCCGCATGACATTTGGTGCGTCTAGACTCTGACGTCACATGACATCGTATTTAAGTTGCAATTACCAAATCGAAGCCTGTACATTGTTGACTTTAATGAAGACCATTTTATTTACTATTTATCTGCAATATATCCATTAAAACAAGCGATGCATTGTGGGTCCAAAAGTTACTGCGGAAAAAAATTCGTTCAGGGCCTGGGAAGGGGCTGCGCCATGCGCCATATGCGCATACTGTCAAAAAATGGCGCAATGAAATAATGGTGCGCAGCGCCATGCGGCGCGCCCCACAAAATGTGGGTATGCATGATTTATTACTTTGTAAGTTCATCGCAGTCCGCGCTATCAAAATTCTTCATCAAAGTTAGATGGAATCTGTGATGCACTTTATAATAAAATCGGAACCATCATTCGGCATATTGACATCCACTGGCAAAGAAACAGTTTTTATTCCCTCGCACAACTAGTTGCGGAGGGGATATAGCATCGCTACTGTGCGTATGTGTGTGTGTTAGTGTGTTAGTGTGTCCGTTACAGCTTGTGGGCAAGATTTAAAGAGAACCTTTGCACTATCATTTTTCAGCCTTCACATACTTATGTGGCATTGTAAAAGGACGAACCCTATTCATTTTCAAGTTAAGCGGTGAAATAGTTCTTAAAATATCGCGTTTTTACTACCTTCAAACCCTGCAATTTTATGTACGAGTTGACAATACTCACTTCCGGTAAATTTAACAGGTTAAAATTCGGGTCGTTTCGATAGAGCCGCTTCTGTAAGTTCTACTTTGTATTGTCATTTTATTGTGCGTATCTGAGAAAGTTTTTATGAATTAAAAGTGTCATCTCTGTCACAGAGTAACTGAAATAATTTGATGAACGTCGCAGTTTCAATACCAAATTTCCACACGTGTGTGTGTTTACAATAGGGGCCTGAGGCGCACGTAATTCTTGAAAGTTATAAACAGTGATAAATATAAAGTTTCACAAGTGTCATTGACATCTCAACACCAGTATATTGTCATTTTTCACTACAAAAAAAAATATTACTTCCATGCGTATTTTCAGATTTGATGCATATTGCATGCTACTGTGAGGTTTACTCAGGTAGGAAAATTAATGAAATTTAAAGCATACGTGATATGTCTCTGCTAGGAATAAGGGAAACTGCCCAATCACCTATGCTTATGACGCAACCCCCACCCCACCCCCGAGGATATCCACCTTGACTTTTGTTAAAATTTAATTAGTGTTGCAATACATTTTAATTTTTTTACCTTATTTTAAACTTTACATAGGAATACTGGGTACCGTTGATTACTAGGCCTAGATGATTGTATTTTGTTTAAAGTCCCTCTTGAGAATTTTTCTCTCGTATGGAGACATTGCCATTACTGGTGAAGTTCCTGGCACGAGGGGATGCTCCGCTTAGCGGTGCTCTTGTTTTTTTTCATGTCGTTCGATTCGTAAGTGTCAAGTCATTTTCGATAGTTGACCACAGCTTTACGAAAGTCACGCACATGGAAAATTTATATACCTTACAATGATAAACCTTTTCAACGAAGTCCACTTATTTTGGCCTGTCCCGTGATCTCTAAATCGGCATCGTTAAAAATGGTGCTTTTGGTTTAAATGTAATTTTTCTTAATGCTAGTTGGTTAGAATCTAGATGATGATTGTCTGAAGTTCTTAGAAACAGAAAAATCATTTGGACTTATCTAGTCAATGTCATATGACTTGTAAATTCCTATCGCATTTTTCTTTTTAATTTTCTTTTATTTTGTTGTCAGAGATATATGCATTATCATATAGCATCATACTATGATTTATTTTAGAATGGCCCAAATATATTTCCCCTCGGCCCCTTAAATTTCAAAATGGCCCCATCATTTTATGAACAGTGGGGCCACCTGTTGCTTGACCTTCCCAGGCACTGTTCGTTTAGATCAATGTGTAAGTCCGAATTTTCTCTTCGCCCAAGCGTTGTCGTTAGAGCATGCTGCGATCACTATAACTATGTTTTACTATTTATTGTATTCTTTTAGTCCGCTATGGGAGAGGCCTGCCCCAAAGTATCCTCTTTATCGTCCTGGGAACCCACAGACCCGTCTGTTTCTGCCACAGTTCTGGATGAAAATCTTACGAGATGAAAGAAACAGAGCACCTCCAAACTCAGTTCATTTTGAAGTCCACAGAGAGTAAGTCAGAGTTGGGGAAAACTGATTAGATACCGGCCATTTGGACTGACAAGAAGACAAAATAAACCGGTCTGAAGTGATATAAGCCAGTCCAAATCTAATTAAGTCACATAATGCAAGAAAAACAAAAGTTCATATTTATGTACTATCTTATATAAACAATCTTATTCTTATATTTTGTGTCATCATCAGCAACCTTGTGTCTTTTACCCAATTTTGCACCTGCTGTATGTTTGATAGGCCATTTATCAGCCATGGTAGTTTAGGTAAAATCAGCCTCAATCTGGTGTATTACATAATGGCATTTTTATATTTATACAAAAATTTGTCTAAAAAATATGCTGATGCTAACAGAAAAAAAATCATGCCAGTTATTTGGACTGGTAACGATGGCGTTTTTACTGCTAACAAGCATTTTAAGTCAGTTTTGGATGAAATATGAAGGAATATGAAGGAAAAATATTCCTTCTTAATGACAGAAATGATAAATGTCTAATAACAGTGGATAGGGGGCTTATCCATAATGCTGAAGATTCTTATGGGGGGAACTTACACAGGCAGAGAGTGCTGTACAATCCTTTTATGTTTATTTCATAATGAAATACTGTTTAAATGAATTGAGATTCATAACAAAAGAAACTAGTAGTTTGTCTTTTTTATCACTTTCTAGAATGGGCAAAAGTGACATCAGACAGTACTTGGAGAAGATATATGAAGTCAAAGTGCTGAAGATAAGAACGTACACAATAGAGGGTAAGATAAATGAAGTCAAAGTGCTGAAGATAAGAACGTACACAATAGAGGGTAAGATGTATGAAGTCAAAGTGCTGAAGATAAGAACGTACACAATAGAGCATAAGATAAATGAAGTCAAAGTGCTGAAGATAAGAACGTACACAATAGAGGGTAAGATAAATGAACTCAAAGTGCTGAAGATAAGAACGTACACAATAGAGGATAAGATGAGAAGATAACATCAACAAGATACAATCACAAACAGGTCATGTTCTAGAGATTCTCTTTCTTTGAAGTTTTCTGTGCTTGATCTCAGAACTAAACTTCTAATGAAGGACAGGAACAGCTGGTTATGTGTAAGAAGAAATTGTGATGAATTAGAATTTTGGGCAAAATTTGTGAAATATCTTTTTGAAAAAAGTGAAAATTAGGGATGTGCAGGTAAATTAGTTGAGTCAATCAATCAGTTCAACATTGAAATGCATTAAGGAATTTTGGACTAGTTGTCTTAAGTATATTGGACTTTATATTGGCAGGATCTGGCTGTGATCTATCTGTAGTCTTTTGAATTAGAAACATATAACTGCTTAAATTAACATTTTTAGAAAAAATGGATCACTAATGTTTAGCATGAAGCTGCTTATTTTGTTGAGATGCAAGGTTTTCTGCAGATGCATTGAACTGGACCAGACCTTTTCAAAAATCAGGAATCTTCTTGAGGAAGTCCTGAGGAGAACCTGGAATCGGTGGAATTTTAATTCGTTTTACTTGATTTGCTGCAGATATTTCTGATTGAGTGAATTAATTAGAAAATTAGAAATTGTTGATTAAAGTAAACAAAGAGCTGATTGCAGATTTATTTACTGCAATCCAGAACTCATTTTATCAAATGTTATCAAATTGTGCTTCTAAAGCCTGGCTGCAGCCTTATGAAGTTCTAAAAACCCTTTAATTAAGATACTACTTTTTTTGAAAGATTGGCTGAAGTGAGATATGGTTTTATTGATATATTGGTTTTAATTGGATAAATTATATTTTGTAGACATTAACAGCAGTTATTGATAGGGATGGGTATCGCCAAAAATTTCGTATCATGATATATCACGATTTTCTCCCAAAATATCATGATTATAATATCATGATATTTTTACAAGCAATTTTACAATGATTTTAGATGAATATTCATAATTTTTTCCGAAAAAAATGCTGGAGAAACATAACTTCACTTTTTTCATTTTTTATTTACATAATATCAAGCAATTTTGGATACTAGGATGCCGTTTTTTTACCGTTTTCAACATTCTTTACACTTCCTGTACAGTGCAGGAAACTAATTTTGTTACAGCATCGATGCTGATTTGAATGCTTCCTTTGCTTGCTGATTTGAATGCTTCCTTTGCTTGCTGATTTAATGCTAGTAATCCTTATCCTGATGCTGTTTTATAATTAGGTCAATGCTACCGGAATAGCATCATGCTACTGGAAGTAGATAATGAATTTCAGCATTGCCGTTTAAAGCAGTAAAAGTGCCTTTTACAATTATTTGATCATAATATCTCACTATGTATCAATAATGTGAATACTTTAACCAATATTCTTTCTTTCTTTTTTATTTTTTTACTGAATTAAAACTCATTGATTTTCTGATGCTAGTAGGATAATGCTGATTTTATGTAGGTCAATGCTGGTTTTATCCTTTGCTTGCTGATGCTGATCCTGGTAATGCTGTTTTTAAATGCTGATGCTGATGCTAGCTCGATCCTGATGCTACTAATGCTTATGCTGATGCTGCTTTATGTAACAAAATTAGTTCCCTGCACTGTAATTGTAATTTGAAAGACTGAACAAGAAATGAATAATTTCTGGAATTTTTAACAATGTACCTAAATACCGGTATTTTAGTCTCCGTATCACGATACGTATCACACAATTAAAAATCATGATATACCGGTATACCGATAAAATCGCACATCCCTAGTTATTGAGATATTGTTTTTATTGAGATATTGATTTTATTACAATATTGGTATTTATTGAGATTCAGGATTCATTGAGAAATTAGCATTACTAGTTTTATTGAGATATTCGTTTTATTTTGTAGGGAAAGATGCCAAGGAAAGAGCTATTGATGAATCATGGTTGAGGTCAACATTTATAACGACAGATTTTGATAGAAAGTTTGCTTATGTTACACTGGTGAGCGGATTGTACCACTTTAAGTTAACCTGAACCTAAGGCTTATTTAATAAGTATCCAACTGGAAGGGTTGATGCATCTCAAGATGTATATTATAAGACTTGTACCAGACAGTAACATAAATAATACAGGTTAAAGACAGACAGTAACATAAGTAAGACAGCATAGGGATAGGCCATAACATAACTAAAAGTAAATAAAGACAGACAGTAACATAAGTAACACTGCATAGGGATAGGCCATGCATAACTAAACATAAAGAAAGACAGACAGTAACATAAGTAAAACTAAATAAAGACAGACAGTAACATAAGTATCCCTTAATAAAGACAGACAGTAACATAAGTATCACTAAATAAAGACAGACAGTAACATAAGTATCCCTTAATAAAGACAGACAGTAACATAAGTATCCCTTAATAAAGACAGACAGTAACATGAGTATCCCTTAATAAAGACAGACAGTAACATAAGTAACACTAAATAAAGACAGACAGTAACATAAGTAACACTCAATAAAGACAGACAGTAACATAAGTAACACTAAATAAAGACAGATAGTAACATAAGTAACACTAAATAATAAAGACAGACAGTTACATAAGTAACACTAAATAATAAAGACAGACAGTTACATAAGTAACACTAAATAAAGACAGATAGTTACATAAGTAACACTAAATAAAGACAGATAGTTACATAAGTAACACTAAATAAAGACAGACAGTAAAATAAGTAACACTAAATAAAGACAGACAGTTAAATAAGTATCACTAAATAAAGACAGACAGTAACATAAATAACACTAAATAAAGACAGATAGTAACATAAGTAACACTAAATAAAAACAGACAGTAACATAAGTAACACTAAATAATAAAGACAGACAGTAACATAAGTATCACTGAATAAAGACAGACAGTTACATAAGTAACACTAAATAATAAAGACAGACAGTAACATAAGTATCACTGAATAAAGACAGACAGTAACATAAGTAACACTAAATAAAGACAGACAGTAACATACGTATCACTAAATAATAAAGACAGTAACATAAGTAAACACTTAATAAAGACATACAGTAACATAAGTATCACTAAATAATAAAGACAGGCCGTAACATAAGTAACACTCAATAAAGACAGACAGTAACATAAGTAACACTCAATAAAGACAGACAGTAACATAAGTAACACTCAATAAAGACAGACAGTTACATAAGTATCACTAAATAAAAAAACAGTAACATAAGTATCACTAAATAATAAAGACAGACAGTAACATAAGTTACACTAAGTAAAGACAGACCGTAACATAAGTATCACTAAATAAAGACAGACAGTAACATAAGTAACACTCAATTAAGACAGACAGTTACATAAGTATCACTAAATAAAAAAAAACAGTAACATAAGTATCACTGAATAATAAAGACAGACAGTAACATAAGTAACACTAAATAATAAAGACAGACAGTAACATAAGTAACACTAAATAAAGACAGACAGTTACATAAGTAACACTAAATAAAGACAGACAGTAACATAAGTAACACTAAATAAAGACAGATAGTTACATAAGTTACATAAAATAAAGACAGACCGTAACATAAGTATCACTAAATAAAGACAGACAGTAACATAAGTAACACTCAATAAAGACAGACAGTTACATAAGTATCACTAAATAAAAAAAAAACAGTAACATAAGTATCACTGAATAATAAAGACAGACAGTAACATAAGTAACACTAAATAAAGACAGACAGTAACATAAGTAACACTAAATAATAAAGACAGACAGTTACTTAAGTATCACTAAATAATAAAGACAGTAACATAAGTTACACTAAATAAAGACAGACAATAACATAAGTTACACTAAATAAAGACAGACCGTAATATAAGTAACAGCAAATAATAAAGACAGATAGTAACATAAGTAACACTCAATAAAGACAGACAGTAACATAAGTAAAACTCAATAAAGACAGACTGTAACATAAGTAACACTAAATAAAGACAGACTGTAACATAAGTAACACTAAATAATAAAGACAGATAGTAACATAAGTAACACTCAATAAAGACAGACAGTAACATAAGTAACACTCAATAAAGACAGACAGTTACATAAGTATCACTAAATAAAGACAGACAGTAACATAAGTAACACTAAATAAAGACAGACAGTAATATTATTGTCAGTTAAATAAGGACATATTAGTAACATATTTAATGATTGATGAATACAGACAGTAACATAAGTTTCACTTAATAAGGACAGACCGTAACATCAGCATATATTGATGTATTTTTATTTATGTATAAAATCAGTATAGATAGTCACACATCTTGAAATCAACCATTGGAGGTAGAACTGATGTTTTTTTTCTTTTATAGGAGGGTACAACCTTTGAGTTTCCTACAGGGATCACAGAGGGGTACACAAAGAAGTTCAACAGGGAGGAAAAAGAGATGAACAAACATAAACTGAAGGATCCAACAGACACAGACACTAGAGGAATCCCCGAGTTCTTTATACAGTAAATCACTGTTTGTGGGTAGTTGTGTAGACAAGGATATCCAGAAAAAAAAAGACTTGATTTTGATTTTTGTGTATATGTATAAAATTTATACAGCTCTATGAACATGTTAATTTGACATTGTCTTTATCTATCTTTTGTGAAGGAAGTCATGTCTGGTTTACTCTGACTTTTATTTTATCTTTTTTCAAGAATAGTTTATACAATAAAACAGGCTTATAGCGAAGTGCCAGGGACAGAAGATTTTGTTATGCCCCACCATGAATATGGCCGGGGCATATAGTGTTTGTTAAGTCTGTCTTCCATCCCTCCATCCTTCTGTCCTTCTGTCACACTTTGCATTTAGTTCAGTTTCAAAGAAACTATTCAAGATATTTTCATCAAACTTCATATTCTGATACATATTGATAAAAGGTATTCAAGTACATCAACATTTTTGACCTTGACCTTTCCATTGACCTTGACCTCACTTTTCTTAAATTTGTGTTTAGGTCAATTCAAAGAAACCTTTAAAAATATTTTAATCAAACCTTATATGCTGATATATACTGATTAGAACTATTCAACTTCACCAACATTTATTACCTTGATCTTACCTTTGACCTTGATTTCACTTTTCTTAAATTTGTATTAAGCTAAATTTCAAAGAAACTATTCAAGATACTATTATTATTATTATTATATGCTGATACATATTGAACAGAGCTGTTCAAGTGCATCAACAATTTTTGACCTAGGCTTTTCATTTGACCTTGACCTCACCTATTTTAAATGGTATTAAGCTCAGTTTCAAAGAAACTATTCAAGATATTTTAATCAAACCTTAAATGCTGATACATATTGCTGAAAGCTATTCAACTGCCTCAACATTTTTGACCTTGACCTTTCCTTTGACCTTGACTTCAAATTTGTTTTTAGCTTAATTTCAAAAAAAGAATTCAGGATATTTTTATCAGACTTTATATGCTTATGTACAGAAGCCCATTTAGGACCTATCAAAAAATATTTTTGAACTCGATATAACAAATTGTCGAATTTGTTATAACAAATTTAATTCGTTATAACAGTTTCTTTGAATTTGTTATAATGAATTTCATCTGTTATAACAAATTTGTTGAATTCGTTATGCTGAATTCAAAAATTTGTCATAACGAATTAATTTTGTTATAACAAATTCTGAAACTTGTTATATCAAATTAAATTCATTAAAACCAATTCGACAAATCATCATATCGAATTCATACATATTTTTCTATAGGCCCTGATTGTTGAATTTGATTTAACAAATTTAATTCATTATAACAAATTTTTGAATTCGTAATAACGAATTTAATTGATTATAACAAATTTTTGAATTCGTTATAACGAATTCAACAAATTTGTTATTACAGATTAAATTTGTTATTATGAATTCAAAGAAATTATAATGAATTGAATTCGTTATAACGAATTCTACAATTTGTTATATCGAATTCGAAAATATTTTTTGATAGGTCCTAAATGGTGAAGGGGACGCAGCACAGTTAAGGCTACAAAAAGGGGGTGGAGCCTAATTTGTACGGGAAAAATTAACTATGACATACAAAACCAACAATTCTTAAAAATACCACAAAATGAAATGATTTGCTATTTTAAGCTGTAGGATACCATCAAACTACATCAAAACTTACTACAACATGCTGTTTTGTCGTTAGTTAAATCCCACAGAACAAGGTATAAACGAGTCTCTGATCGCAATGCACTTGTCGGTGTGACGTCATTTCGTAAAACTTCACGCAGTTTGTATGCAGTGAGAGGGGGATCAAGTAATATTTTCTCAACGAAAATGTATTCTATAATTACATAAAATATTATTTAAAGATATTTCATAGGCCATTAACTTGGATTCAATGTCTTTACAATTTTATTGATATTTTCCTTACATTTCCTATTTAATTGATACTGCCGTATATTTTTATGCAAGTACATCGGAAGTTTATGTAAGGGTCTTAATAAATCGATCTAGTGCAAGAGCATACACTCAATGTATCATAGTAAGCTTTTACATATGAACTTTTAGAAATATTAAGGTATCTGAAAAGTGCTGCGATCCTGATGAAATCTTGAAAATAATTTAATTATATCTATATTTAATGCCGTTAACCAGCAAGAAATACAGCATGCCGTCATACAAATACGATTTTAACAATGAAATAGCAGAATATAGGATCGTAGCACTTTTCAGAAACTACAATGCGTGTTGAAAATATTTATAAGCTAAACTTGAGTTTTAACTTGGTTACGCCCTTGCACTAGTGAAATTCGTAGGTGACTTCAATACTGCAAGTAAATGACGTGACTGCCGCATCACGTGACAAGTCTAAATATAAAATCTAATCGTCCTCAATATGTAGTTATTAACTATAATTACATTTGTCCGATTTGAATAATGTACTAAAAATAATCGCCATCCTGATAATGAATACATTTTTAATCACAAAAATTTGTCGATATTTCCATTGCGCACCTTAACTGTACTGCAAGTTTAAATTGTTAAAAGAAGGGCCAAACCCCCTTACAAGGGAGCTGAAACTTATGCGGAATCATCTTGGGCTAGTGTAGATTCTAAATTTTTAAATCAAGACCCCCGGGGGTAGGGTGGGCCAAGTTTTACATTGAAATATATAGATAAAATCTTTAAAAATCTTCTTCTCAAGAACCACTGGGTTAGAAAACCTGAAACTAATATGGAAGCATCCTTGGGTACAAGTGGATTCTAAATTGTTAAAATCATGACCCCTTGGGTAGGGCGGGGTCACAATAGGGAATCCAAGTTTTATATTGAAATATATAAATAAAATCTTTAAAAATATTCTCAAGAACCACTTAGTCAAAAAAGCTGAAACTTTAATTGAAGCATCCTTGGGTGGTGTAAATTCTAAATTGTTAAAATCATGCCCCTGGGGGTAGGTTGGGGCCACAATAGGGAATCCAAGTTTTACATTGAAATATATATTAAAAAAAATCTTTAAAAATCTTCTCAAGAACCACCTGGCCAAAAAGATGAAACTTATGTGAAAGCATCCTTGGGTAGAGTAGATTCTAAATTGTTAAAATCTTGACCCCGGGGGTAGGGTGGGGCGACAGTGGGGAATCCTAGTTTTACATTGAAATACATTTTTTTTTATATCTTCTCAAGGACCAATGGGCTAGAAATGCTGTAACTTATGTATCCTTCACGACCTTGGGTAGGGTAGTTTCTAAATTGTTAAAATCATGACCCTGGAGTTAGGGTGGGGCCATAAAAGGTATTACAAGAGGGCAAAGTCTTGTGATAACCGCAGGGCCAGAGATACTCAGGTGAGCGTTGTGGCCCATGGGCCTCTGTTTCAATATTGTATTTGACAAAGTTGAAGACTGCACATGCACTGTTATTGGAGAGTTTAGAATGGAATGTTTATCTTTAAAGGGCTTAGATTCACTGTGGAAAATGGTAATAATGCTATGCTTAAATCTGGTTATTTTTAAATTGCTTAAACTGTGTAATCTTTTTAGCATATCATATTTTAGTTAATATTTGCAGCTGTCCAATTTTTGCAAACTTTGGATACTGTAATTGTATGCCTTTGTATTTTTGGAAAGGAATTGCAAAGGTCAGAAAAAATGCGAACTATTGAATCAAATCACAGAAATTTTTAGCTCGAAGATTGCCCATTATAGATGTATTGCAACGGCAAATTAAGCAGTTACGAATCGTGAACGCACTAAGTGCATCCCACTTAAAACTAACCTTGGTATACTGTCCCTCCCATACATCTATTCAGTGCTAGATGTGTGATGCGCCATTTGCGCCAATTACGATTTTTTTTCGAAAGTGGCGAAAATGATAATTTTTAGATATACCATACAATTTAAAGTGTGTGCACTCCTGGCTAGCACATTTTTTTATTCACTGTATACAGATTATCCCCTTTGTTTATTTAATGCAAACAGAGGTGTGAATTTCAGGGTGGGGCCACAGTAGGGAATCCAAGATTTACTATTAAATATATAGGAAATATCTTCTTCTCAAGAACCACTTAGCCAAAAAAGCTGAAACTTTTGTGGAAGCATCATGGGGTAGTGTAGATTCTAAATTGTTCAAATCATGACCCCGGGGATAGGGCGGGGCCACAATAGGGAATCCAATTTTTATCTTGAAATATATAGGAAAAATCTTTTAGAAAACTTCACAAGAACAACTGGGGAATAAAAGCTAAAACTTATGTGGAAGCATCCAGAAGTAGTGTAGATTCTAAATTGTTCAAACCATGACCCCCATGGGTTGGGTGGGGTCACAATGGGAGATCCAAGTTATACATTGAAATATTTATGAAAAATCTTTAAAAAAAATTTTCCTCAAGAACCACTGGGCCAGAAAAGCATAATCTTATGTGGAAGTATCCTGGGGTAGTGTAGATTCCAAATTGTTCAAATCATGACCCCCTGGGGTAGGGCGGGGCTACAGTAGGGAATCCAATTTGTATCTTGAAATATATAGGAAAAATCTTTAAAAATCTTCTTCTTAAGAACTACTAGGCCAGAAAAGCTGAAACTTAAGTGGAAACATCCTGGGGTAGTGTAGATTCTAAATTATTCAAATCATGACCCCTTGGGGTAGGGCGGGGCCACAATAGGTATTACAAGGGGGAAAATCAGGTGAAGAACGGAACAGAACCAAAGTTACTCGGGTGAGCGCTGTGGCCCTTTGGCCTCTTGTTCAAACAGACTGTTATGCCATTGTTTTCACACTGAATTGTCTACGGATTTTCCCCTTTGCCCAATTACGACAGGGAGCAAATGCGGATGTGACCTGTTGGCAGGGGATGCTTGTTCCTGCATGGCACCTGATCCCACCTCTGATGTTTTAAAGGTCCATGTTTGATCTGCTCCCATGTTGTATTGTTCCAGTGGACTTTTGAGCTTGATTACTGTTGGTTATCTTCATATTTCATTATACTAGTACTCTTAAATTCTTCATAAACACTAGGGAAATTAGAGTAGCGGCTGCATGTGTCACTATTTAAACTAGTACTGTTAACTATATTCTTTGAGTGTTTAACCGTGTCTCTTCGTATATTCTTGAAGTTTTTTTCACATATTGCCAGAATAACATTACTCTTTCATTCAATTGTATGTTCATTT